GTGTGTGTGTGTGTGTGTGTGTGTGTCTGTGTGTGTGTGTGCGTGTAGATGTTAAGTACAGGGGGCTGAATGCTATGCGGGGAGAAGTCTTTAATTAGAGCAGGAAGACACAGCTCAGGAGACACACCACACCAGACTGCAGTGTGTGTGTCGACTGCCCTCGACTGTTAAACATCCTGCACACCTCCATGAATTCATACCAGAAGTGTAGTATGTGTGTGTGGGTGTGTGTKTGTGGGTGTGTTGTTGAGTAGGTGTGGTTTTATATTAAATGAAGCTGCATGAAGTCACCTCCATGAGTGAAACCCCACAAACTCTGTTAATAATTTACACAAAACTTCCTGTTTGTTTTTACAGAATGACTGAGGTGAATGAATGGCCATTTTTGCTAAAGCTAGTTAGCCGTGGCAGCCATTTTGAATCAAGCTGACCCCAACAAAAGGCAGCAGGCATTAAAGGCAGCTTTTATTAAAAAATAACCCAGTCTGCTTAATACTGCCGTGTGTATTAATTGTATGTTTTGTTGTTTTCTTTGTTGTTGCAGTTCCCATGTGGCCATTCAGCCATGCTGCCTGGGTATGGATTCTCTCCTTTTCCTGATTTCCAGCCCCACCTTTACTCTTTTCGCTGCCGAGGAGAGATGCACAGCATGTGGATCCCAGGCCCGGGAGAATCCCAGGGTCTGAACGAGTCCCAGGAGGGCAGGCCTCTCCTTCGCTGTTGTCACAAGCACGTCGCTGTGTGTCAGCAGGAAACTTTGGCTTTTATCGAGCTGCAACCACCTGCAGCTTCTAAGTTAAGCGGTTTGAGGCAAAACACTATTTCAGACACACAACGCACGGCAGACTCTCCGCCACTGAATGGTTTCAGACAAACACTAAATGAAATCAACACCATGCAGAAGGGCTGCCCCAGGACAGACACTGAACATGAAATAAGCTTGAACTTTTCTTCGTGCACRACGGACGACGGKGGGCACGTTGGCCAGGATGAAACCAGGACGTCGTCGCAGGAGCAAACCAAGAAGACACAAATGTTAACAACACTTTGTCGTCCTCTCCRTTCACCTCTCAGCCTCCCTCTGTCCTTCCCCCTGTCCTCTCTGTACACAAACAGAGACTCCTGGGAATCTCAGGGACCTGGTTCTCCATCCTCACCTGAATGTACCGACTGTCAGGGTCCAGGCTCCTGCCAGCCTCAGAGGAGAACCTCACAGGGGTCTCTGAGGGAGAAGTCTATCCGTGAGTTGACAGAGCAAATCAGGCTTAGTGAAAACACACTTTTCTTTCATCTAATGTTATTTTCTTGTCCTCAGGGCGAAAGATGCAAGTTTATTCTCCAGACAGCCTGAGTGATGACTCCCTCAGCAGCCCGATCCTGGAGGCGGACTACATCTTTCCTGGACCCTTTGCATCGTTTCTGGAAGAAGACCTAAGTGGATTATCTTCTTTAGAGGCCGTTTCAACATCTACATCCACAGACGGCGCTCCTGACTTCCCAAGCATCGGTCAGGATGACATCTCCGAYGTTCCAGCAGAACCCTTAGAGATCATAGAGGACTCAGAACCAGGGGAAGGGGAAGAACCCGGCAGCGTGGAGACGTCGGTTCCCTCAATAGGGAGCCTTTTGTCACGCAGTCGTCAAGCTGACCAGGAACGCCGGCGCTTCTCTGCTTCAGAGCTAATATCCAGACTGCAGCTGTCTCAAAGGAAGAACTCGTTCACCCTGAAGCTCGGGAAGTCTTTGTCTGCTCGGGTCGCCTCCAGGGACAGACAGAACTCCAGCAGCTTCAACCCAAGCTCTGATTGTGAGTTTCCAAAAGTTTGGTAGCTTTTCTTCGAAAGAGAGTCAAAAAACAATCCGGTTCTGAACGATGACTCCATCTCACCGAGCTGCAACTACAGTTATCTAAAAACTGCCAGAGCTGAAAGAGAAAAACTTATAAGTTTCAGTTTCTTATCTTAGATTGCATCAGAATACAGCGGTTTTTATGAAAAGGTCTTATGGCTGCAGTTGTTTTAAAGGAGACATATCATGCAGAATTCAYCTTTTTAAGCTGTTAAACACATTTTGTTGTGAGTCTCTAGGAGGGCAGAACATTTGAATTTAGTCTTTCCCGGTGCTGCGTAGATATCATTACATTGTTTGGGTCATATTTTTCAACCTGTTCAGTTTTCTTTCTATGACATTTTCTGAATTATTACGTCTCTGTATTTGCTGCGTAACTACTAAACAAGGTCATAGACTTCCAGCTTACCAATGTTGCGAATTCGCAGTTCTGCAGGTTTGTCGTCATCATTCTCCTCTGGCTCTGGGTCAGACTCTGGCTCTAACATGTAAGGCTGGATGGACAAGTCTTCTGTTGTTGACATCTTTTAATCACTTTGTAAATAAAAGGTTTTCTGCWCTGCTGTTTACCCTGGTGTAAAGGCTGGTTTATACTTCGAGGCACATGTCTTGTTCCCCCTGCTGAGTGATAAAAAATTGCGTAACKTCCGTCTGCTCTCCCGCTGCTATCCCCCCRGTGACCGCCGTCGTGTACATTGCTCCCAGTCAGAACTCAGTCAGGGGAAGAAGATGTGCAACTCGAAGTATAAAACAAGCTATAAATGACAAAAATAACCAAATGRGGTGGAGTGAATGATCATTACTAGTTAAACCTAGAGGTGGGGGGGTGGAGTGTGAAGCACATCATTTACATTTAAAAAGACAGCACCAAAATGAGTTGATCTCAGATGCACCTCAGAAAAGGGGTGAAAGAGGGGCTTGTGGAGTTACAATAATGAGGAATTCAGACCAAAGCATTGCAGTTCCACTGACGGAATTATWCAAATGTGAATAAGAAGGATTCAAAAGCATGATATGTCTACTTTAAAAGTAAACGGAATATGTAAAATAAATTTCAAACTTTGATTTTTTTGTCAAGAATCTTTAAAATCCTCTCAAAATCTAATTATTTTACCATTTTAAGARTGGTGTTTATGCCACCTTTAGCGAAAACAAGTTTTTGGCTCAACARTGACATTAATTTTTCATAAGTTTAATGGACAAGCACTAACAAACCCAGCCATAATCAGCAAACACTGCAAGTCATCGTTCATCACGCATAAAAGAAAAAGTCAGGTTCAATCCCACAAATAATCCTGAACAAACATTTGTGCTACTGTCTGGCTCAGTAACCTGAACTGATACAAAGGCTTAAACTTGTTTTATTTAAAAAAAGCTTATTAAAGGATTTTGCAGGGTTGATCTGCCTAAATGAGCAGGYTTTCCAAGTATGTCTTGTGTTCACACAGGTGCAACCATCACTGCCAGCTGGTCAGATCCAAAAAGCTTTTTCACCACAAATAATAAAATTAACAATGAAAACACTGAGGCATAACAGTAAACAATGGAACATATTTCTCAAAAAAGCTAAAAACACTTTGTTAGCTATTTCGTGAACATCTTGTATTAATTCTTCACAGGTAAGTCCAGCTTCAGGCACCGGAGCTCAGGAGTCTCCAGTGATAGCGCCCCCCACAGTCCTGTTGGACTGGCGCCTTCGCTGCCCGCTACTGATAGCGGGATGCCGTTACATCGATGGAGCTCCAAACTTGGGTAAAAAGTCAAGTACACTTCGCTGCCGCATGCAGAACGCGGCGGTGACGGACCTTTCCGTCAGTCCCATACCTTATATGGAAATGGGACTATTGCATTCCGAAAATGAAGGGGGCGCTAGTGACACTATTTTCTATCGAACACTTTCAACATTAAAAATACAAATTTAACATTTCCCGTACCAACCGTGTTGTCCGTCCCCGCCCCGTTCTGCATAACTGTAGGGTTAGGGTTAGGGTTAGGGTTAGGTTG